CACTTATTCCTCCACCTACCACTGCAACTCTCATCTCTTATTCTTCTTTTTGTAATTTTCTACCAAAAAAAAAATAAAAAAATCCAAGTCCACAAATTAAATCACCATTATTATAATACTATAATATGACATTTGGCAAATTAAGAATGTTACACATAGGCAATGCACCTTAATTCAGTAAGCACAAATAACAATGGAAAGGTCGTAAAAAAAATTCATGGACCAAGATTTGAACTCATGAACTTTTTAATTGGAGCAAAACTAATTTCACCAATCGCTTTTTTATACTTTGTATTTTTTTTTATGGTAAAAAAATATGTTTAGGGGTTATTAGGTCATGGCTGCCCCTTAAAAGTTCCACCATTCCTAGAAAGAGTCAATTTTATAACAAAAAGTGAATTTGACAAAACTCAAAATACATATAGATTATATAGGTAGTCACACTTAGAAAAAAAAAAAGTTGTAAATTGTGATTAATTTATTCAAGAAATTGAAGAAGAAGAATTAAACTTGAGACATCTTAGGAATCAATACGTTCCTTACAAAAATGAGGATTTAAATTATATGAATCAACTATATATATGCAACTTTGATTATGATAATGAGAAAATAATTTCCCAAAAAAAAAAAACAACGTACATTACCTTAAAAGGTTGTAATAACTTCAAAGTATAAGCGCAAACAAGACCAATTATACAGTTTGGAATGATAATGCAGTGTGATTAAAAATTTAGAAGGATAAGAGAAATCTTTGTGGACTGCAAAAATCTTAAGAAATCAGAGGGATGAAAGAAAGAAATAGTATGACATATCACAAATTGATATAGTGGGAAAAAGATAAGCCAATAAGGACATTATTCATTGCATTGGGATGGGTCTACACTACAATGTTGCGATATGAAGAGATAGTAACACTTTAAATATGCTCATTTATACTTCTCACGCGCTCGTACCCAAATTTAAATGTGTATTTAACTATATATGGTCGTCCATCAGGTTGGGTTCAGTTTGACCAATCTAAATTTTCGGGTTTGAATGGAAGTGATTTATATATGACAAAAGCTAACGAACGTTATGGGGGCGTTGGATAAGATAACTAAAATCAGAAATATTAACTTGAAATAAACATTAATTACACCGATCGACAGATACTTTTGACATGCATTCCCAAATTAATAAGAAGTACCTTGTTAGGAAATATTTTAAAAGGTTATCCAACGCCCCGAGGGTGTTCGTTAGCAAGATCCTTAATAAAATGTTGTTTTACTTAATTAAATGTTGTTTTTAATCAATAAAATCTGTACGAATAATCAATTAAAATCAATGCTAATAAATACTCCATATATTGCAGTCAATGAGATCAGTTTTAATTAATTTGATTAGAAAAATTAATTCCATATTAGTAAGATCAAGTTAATTGATCATGGACTAATTATACTAGACTAGGTAGCATATAAATTTTTTTTTTTTTATCAAATTATTTCAAATACGTACATATAAAAAAATACCCTTAATTATTTTTTGAACAAAAAAATACCATTAATTATTGATATTATTTAGGGTTATGGTGTATTTTTAATTTTTGACAAACAAACAAATAGCATTAAAAAAAAAAGTTACTTCTTGCTAACACATTTAATTTCTGTACAATATACCTCTCCGATTCTTTTGTTGTTCTTAATTGGAAATTTCTTGTGATATAAAAAAGTTAGCAGGAAAAATAAAATGAATCGGAGAGAGTAAATCAAAGAAAAGATCAATAAGGTAAATTGTCCATACAAAATTATTGATCAAATAGTCCATAAAATATTACTCCATATTAATTAAAATATTAAATAGTTCAATGAATTATTATTATACGGAGTATAATTTATGCATGATTACTATTTACGAAATACAAATAATAAAACATCAAAGTTGTTGAAGCCACTCATGTCATGAAATGAAGTCTAAAAATCAGTGACAAATAAAGCACCACGTAGGGCTTCTCTTATCCGATCCTATTGCCTACAAAGTACAAACTATTCCAAGATCCAAGTTGATTATAGAACTTTCCTATAAATCACAACGTAATAATGATTTATACCCGCTTTACTTTTTTTTTTTTTTAATAATGAACACATAGCAATTCAACGTGGTTCAGGAGTAACCCCTTATGTGTGCGGCCCATCGACCACTATATACTATACTATTTCTTCCGTTCTTTAATATTTGTACGTACAAGATAGTATTATACAAGTAGAATTTTATGTTATCTGTTTATCACATCCTCTTCTTAAACTGTAATTTGTGATTTATGAATATAAGATGTAAGAATCTAAGATTGCCGACCAATTGTTAAGATGTAGCCTAAAGGTCAACACTGTTAACGGAGCCCAAAATCGTGGAGGATTGAGTTTCAAGTTTGGATCTAGTGAAGCATCGTAAGCAAGGCAAGAAAAATTGATCACAAAGGCCAAATGATATAAAAAGATTTGATTTTTTTCAGGGTCTGTTCAGTTCACTTTATTTTCACTTATTTCAGTTTTAATAAGTTCAGTGAGAAAAAATAAGTTCTGATAAGGGTTGTCTGAGTTCAAATTACAACTAAAATAAGTTTTAATAAAGTTCAGATAAGTTCAGGTAAGTTCAGATAAATTCAATAAGATCAGATAAGTAAAAATCAAGTGAATAGAGCACACCCTTATCTACCTTCCTCAAAACTTTAATCAGGTTAAGCAGTTGACAACTACAAATTATTAAGGAGTAATCAACAAACATCTTAAAAGTTGAAAAGTACACAATATGACCTAATACAAGGTAGATAATTTTACAAACCAAACACTTAAGATAGTTACAATACAATGTATTCCAATTCCTTCATTCCCTTAAAGTTGCCCCATATTCCAACTTTCACTTTATTTAGTCTTTCAAGTATGTGACAGAAGATTTCCAAAAAAAAAAAGGAAGGTATGTGACAGAAGAAAAAAGTTCGTAGTTGAGTCCATCAATTTCTAGTTTGATGTGATTCAATTGACAACAATTTAGAGAGGGTGTGATGATGAGGTGAAGGTTTGGTTTCAAGAATTGAAACCTTTATATATATATATATTTTTTTTAACATAATAATGTTTGTGAACTGTTAAACATCGCCCGCAAATTCCTACATAAAGCCCACAAAATAAGAGTGAAATGACACTTTTGCCCTCATACTAAAAAACACACAATTTCTCTCTCTACTCTCTACTTCCACTTTCTCTCTCTAAATTATTTCCAAAGCTATGTCGAGGCGGCCCGGCAAGGAAGTGGCGGCACCGGCGGTGGGCGGAAGGCGGTTTGCCGGCCAGAAGGTAAATTTTTTAATTTTTGTAATTTTTTTTAAAAAAAAAAACCTCCGGCGACGGTGGGGCGCCAAGGCGAGACGCCACCACCACGGCGGAGGCGCCTAGGCAAGGCGCCCGTACGGTGGTGGCGGCGCCTAGCCCAGACGCCACTACCACGGCGGCGGCGCAGAGGCTACGCGCCACGGCCGTGGTAGTGGCGTCTGGGCTTGGCGCCGACACCACCGTACAGGCGCCTTGCCTAGGCGCCTCGTTCTTTTTTTTTTTTTTTTAATTTTTTTTTTTTTAATTTTAAATTTTATTTTCGATTTTTTTTTTTTTTTTTAAAAAATTTGTTTTTCTTTTTTTTAAATTGTATGTTCCCTTTTTTTTTTATCTTTTTTTTTTAAATTTTGTTTTTTTATTTGTTTTAATTTTATATTTTTTATGTTTATAATTTTATTTCCGTGACTTGTTTATTTGCTTTTGTGTTTATTTTCGACTTTTTTTTAATTTGTTTTCGTTATTATGTTTCGTTATTTACTTGGAGTTAGGCATCGCAATTTAGACCTGGTGCGGGGAAGAGTATTGACGTCGTGAGGAGTACGATCTACTCAATGGAGAGCTCGGGGCCCAGACACGTTAGATCCCGTGGTATTTCGGCCTCGGCCCGCAGAGAACGGGTGCACTGTTCTGCGGACGATCAAGATGATGATGATGATGATGAGGAGGAGGAGGAGGAGGTCGAGGAGGAGGAGGTCGAGGACGAGGATGATTCAGATGAGGATGTCGACGATCAGAGTGGACCATATGATGATTACGGTCCATTCAGTCAGAGACTTGATGATACGTATGAGACGCATAGGGTAGATGTGCGTAAGGGTCGAGATGGTAGGTTTGTTAGTAGATCTGGCACATCATCTGCGTCCACTGTGTCTGCGGGTAGCAGAAAACGGTCGAGGGCCGTTAATGATTCTTGGATGGTGAGGGGTGAGGTGGCCGGGGGACCTATAGACGGGAGTGTGATTCCTAGCTTTTTAGGACACATCGCTACCCGTATTTGGGAGGACCAGGAGAGGGCTTTGGATACAGGCATTTTGAAATGCCAAACCCGGGAAAAGACTTGTAGGTTTTTGTGTAGCTGGGCTGATGCTTGGCCGGAGGAGAGCGAGATGGTCGGGCGATTGAGGGCCACTAGAGTGAGTCACCTTCCTGCCACCATGCACGATAGGATTGACTGGACGCTGATCACGGCTTTCGTTGAGCGATGGCAGCCGGATACGAACTCGTTCCACCTTCCGTTCGGTGAGATGACGATCATGTTGCATGACGTCGAGGCCATCCTTGGGATTCCCGTGGAGGGAAACCGAGCATCTGTCGTCACTGATGCGGATCAGGCAGATTTACTAGCGGAGCTGTTGGCGGTGGATAGGGCTGCGCTGTACACATCGGCACTTGGTGTGTGGGATCACGGCGGCGTTAAGATCGCAGCCGTCTTGCAGCGATGTTTGCACCCTACGGCACGTAGGACGCAGGACACACAGCTGGCTGCATATGTTTTTCTTCTTCTCGGGTGTACCTTGTTTCCGGATAAGAGCGGGAACAAGCTCAGGCCACGCGACATAGTTGACGCGTGTGAGCCCGACAGAGTAGGCCAGTTTTCTTGGGGGTCGGCTACGCTGGCGTATCTGTATCGCCAGTTAGGATTCTCGAGCCGGGCTGATGCAGCAGGTATCACTGGATGTCTGACGTTGTTACAGACCTGGATATACGAGTATTTTCCTGCGTTTCGACCACACCGCGACCCGGTTCCCATTGGTGATGGCCAGCCACGTGCCTGTGCGTGGAGTCCGCGTGTCGAGAAGAAGTCCGTTGACCGCCTGCGCTCCATACGGTTATCGCTTGACAGGATGTCCCCCTTAGAGGTACAGTGATTAAATTATTTCTACTTTTACAATCTGATGCTTTATTTTATGACTGTTACTGATTTTAAATAATGTGCAGGTGAACTGGATGCCTTTCGGCCAGAACCCTAGTAATAGGGTACCCAGGACCCTCTACACTGGACTGATTCAGTATCGCGAGATCGTAGAGGCGTACATGCCGCAGCGCTGTCTTCGCCAGCTTGGATTTGTCCAAGTTGTCCCACCTCCACCGGCATGGCCCAGTAAGGCGGTACGATCTGCGTCGTCGAAGGAGTACGTCGTCCAATGGCCGTCAAACATGATATCCATGTGGGAGCAGTTTCCGATGGTTGCCCGCCTATGGACGGCGGAGCTGCAGCGGCCGCCAAGTGGGGTGACTGCCATGTGTGACCAGCACTACATGGAATGGTACATCCGGCACTCGCACCCGAGGTTGATCAAAGACATCGACGACGCAGATGATGACGATGTGCCACCTGCCACTGACGAGTGCATGACGAGATGAACTGCATGACGAGTGCATCAGGCAGAGCTGTTATTGACGATCTGGAACGGACCCTTGAGCAGTGGCAGTGGGCGTCACGCGCCACTACTATGGTCGAGGCTTCTCCACCAGGCGCCGTGACCACGGTGGCGGCGTCCTGGCTAGGCGCCACAACCACGGCATGGCCTTTTGGCTAGGCGCCAGCCACCATTTCGTCCTTACGATGCGTTACGAACCTCGTTTTCTGATGACGACGGCGATTCTCCGGTGATCCTCGGCGATCCGGTGCTGCTCCACATTTTTTTAGTGCGAAAAATTTATCTTCCGTTAAAATTATAAAAAGGGCAAATTTGTCAAAAAATTATAAAATGTGGGCTTTATGTAGAGATTTGCGGGCGATGAATAACAAGTCCCTAATGTTTGCCTATACTTGTACGGACTATATGATTTTCATTACACAAACTATATTGACTGCCGCACCCAATACTTCGTGCGGCAGCCCATTTCTTCTACAAAAATCCTCCTTTCCTTCTTTTACCGGACTTTCTCTCTACTCCCCTGCTGCGCCAGTCAATTTCAAAACCCCAGTCACTCCGCATTCCATGCTAGAAAGCTACCCAATTCCTGCTCTTCTGCTTCCGATGTGCTCCCTTCTAATACCCTCCAACTCCACTTCTTCAAATTTTCCATTCTCAATCAATTTGTCATTTTCTTTAGTGGGCTTTCGTAATTTTTTCCATACCAAACCCAAACAAAGACCTTGCTTTTAATTTTACCTGTCTTTTTCTGTTAATTATATACCCTTTATTTTGATTAAATACTTGTTTTCTTCTCTCTCCTCGTGGTCTCCGCCATAGCTGGTTAATTGCGGTGGCTTGTTAATTGTTAGTCTGTAATTGCGGCTGTTTTTGCGGCCGAGGTGGTGGCGATGTGGGCTGATTTGTTGGTGTTTGTTATTGCGGGGTGACGCGGTTGTTTGTGTGTTTGTTGTTGTTGCAGTTTGTTGTTATTGTTGGGTTGGTGAATTGGGTCGGGAAGGTGACGCGGGTGGTGGTGGTGGTGGAGAGGGAAATGCGGCGGAGGAGAGGGCAGCGAGTGGTGGCGAAGTGGTGGTGGGTAGGGGTGTACACCGGTCCAATACCGGACCGGACCTGGACCGGACCTGTTTGGACCGGGGACCTGAATTGGGTAATTATGAGGACCGGGGACCGGACCTGAATTAACAGGTCCGGTTCCGGGCCAGACCTGAAAAATCAGGTCGGTCCGGGTTTGGACCTGAATGGACCTGTTTTGTGTCTTTTACGTTTTTTTTTTTAATACAAAACCTGTTGGACCTGCATATGGACCTGTTTTGTGATTTTTAGACCTGTTGCATAATTTAATAATTACATACAAACCAAAATTATCAATTACAAAACTACATAAAGTCTATAAAGTCCCGATTCTCAAACACCAAAAATACAAATGAATCCACCGAAAATACAAATAAGTCCACGAAAACTCAGTTTCAATTTTTCAGAGTTTGGTTTTCTTTTTTTTTTTTTTTTTTTTTTTTTTTTTAATTACGATTTTCCCGGGTTTCAGGTCCGGACCTGAAAACCCCGGGTTTGGACCGGGTCCGGACCGGGACCGGGAACCTGGATTTTTAAGAACCGGGACCGGACCTGAATCAACGGGTCCGGGTCAGGTCCGGTCCGGTTCAGGTCCGGGCCAATTTTTGTACACCCCTAGTGGTGGGGGTGGTGAAGAGAGAGGGAGTGCGCGAGTTTGAGTTTGCCCACATTATTCATTTGAAAAAGAGAGAAAGAAAGAGAGTAAGGGGGGGGGGGGAGAGGAGAGAGAACGAAATAAAAATATCTTGTATGTTATTAATCATATTAGCCAATAAATGACACATATCAACCATTAAAATGAACATATCAGTCAATTGATGTCTGATACTAGTCAATATTAGGGACATATCTGACATTAAAAACGTATCAGTCACACAAGGAACATATCAACCAACAAATGAAGCATATAAGCAAAAAAAAAGGAACATATCTTCCAACAAAAGATACATATCAGCCAACAGAAGGAATATATCAGCTAACAAAAGGATGAAATTAGCAATAAAAACAACATATAAGCCAACAAAATAAACACATCAGCCAACACAATGAAACATATAAGCCAACAATTAAAATATACATATCAGCCAACAAAATAAAGATATTAGCCAACTAAAGAAATATATCAGCCAACTGATGTCTTATAGCAGCCAACAAAAGGAACATATCAAAAAAATCTAAAATCCATATCACCCAACAAAAGGAATATTTAGCCAACACAAAAACCGTATAAGCCAACAAATGAAACATATCAGCCAACACATGAAACATATTAGCCAACAAGTAAAATATATCAGCCAACCGGCCGCATGCATAATTTGCGTGCGGCAGTCCGCACCCAATACCTTCTCTTTTCATTAACTTACCCTATGATTATCAACAATCGTGTTCGAGATAGAAAGAGTGGTCTAATTGACTAATTTTCTGACTTTTTAGACATGAGACTAGAGGTTAAATTTTACCAAACTCATGTTAAGAGGAATTCTATAAAATCCCTCCTTCCTACTCTCAGTACGTTATCTTTCTTTATTTGCAAATGATATACTTGTTCTTCTACACGATATTAAGCTATACTGGTATACTTAGTATAAATGTATGTGAGTATGTGACTATATATTTGGAATATGTAGAAAAATTGTGTATTTATCTTTAAAATAATTTAACATTATTTCACCATGTTTATTGATCGCTAGTAGCTAGTTCTCTTGTTCAATTTCATTTTATGCTACTTAACCTTGAGTTTAATTTTACTTAACTACTTTTAATAAGAATGCAGTGAAAATGTTCATAAATGTCCTAAAAATAGAGTTAAGTATAAGATTGGGGTCTAAATTTTTACATTTTTCACCTTTTGAGAGCTTAGTGTTTTTTTCTTTTCACCTTTTGGGACCTATAGTTAACAATACGGTTAGTTAACCCACCTTTAACTCACCTAGAAAAGAAAAAAAAAAAAAACCTTAGTCCCTTCAATTAATTTTTGGCAAAAAAAAACTTAGTCTCCTCATAAATTCTGTCAATTCCAAAAAGCATAGGCCCTTAAATCTTTATCTCATCCATAATTACCGAAGAAAATTAACTATAATTTTTTTAAACTAATACATATCCAAAGGGCCAAATTAGAAAATAACACCTGATAAAAGACCATATTTTGATTATAACACCTGAACATTTCAAGTTTTTATTATAACACCTGCTAAAAAATTAAAATTTTGGTTTCACCACCTAAATGGTTACGACGTTAGAGGATCTGTTAGTTGGGCCCACTGCAACGGCTATTTTTTTCAAAGTTCTGTATATATTTACGATATTCTTCACAAACGGTGAATTGTTGATCTGGGTACACAATTTTAGGCTTCACATTTTGCGAATTTAACAATCAAATTGTCGAAATTGTTTGATTTCAGCATCATTGTTTGGGGGAGGAAGATTTGAAATCAGGTAATTGCGAAATAACACTGCAGAAAACCCTAGTTTATCTTTCTTTAATGAGGTGTAAGTCAATCTATGTTGTTGAATTAAGTGCATAATTCAGTGCGCATGTGGAATTAATCATGTAATTCGTACATTTTTAAGGTTCATTGTGTGTTAATTGTCCTCTAATTTGCGAAAAAATGAAATTAGGGTTCATCGGAACCATAAATTGGGGGTTTTGATTTGTAGGACTGATTGGTTAATTCCGTTGGTTCAATTGTATTGTTTTTCAAAGTAGGAATGGTTTTGCTTATTGTGGATGGCGTATTGGTGCAGGAGATGTCTATCATTAGTTCCTCTCCTTCAAAGGAGAAGAAGTGCAAGTGTGGTGTTCCATTGGCGAAGCTTACCAGTTGGACAAGGGAGAACCCTGGTCGGAAGTTCAGAACGTGCAAGTTCTATGATCCTGTAATTGAGAGTAGAGGTTGCAAAGCATTTGAATGGGTGGATGAAGAAGATGGGACAGCCTGGCAAACAGAGGTGATCAACAGTTTGTTGTTAGATAAGAAGCTGTTGAAGGGAGAAATTAGTGACTACAAAAGGGAAGTTGATGATCTTAGTGGACAGATGAGGTGTTTGCTCAATGAAGTTGACAGGCTGAAGATGAAATACAAGGCTTTAAGCTCTGACAGGAAGAAGATGAACAGTGAGATGCATGGAAGAAATGCAAGATCAGAGCACTCTGTTCATTGTCTTGCTTTTGGGATTAGTTTGGTCATATTAGTGATGCTAGTTATTGGGGGGTTTGTAATGCTTAAAGTGTAATTTGTCCAACAGTAATAGTAATATGCTAATGTAATGGTTTATCAGTGGGAGTGAACCACTTTTGCAAACTAATGTACAAATATTTGGAAGGAATGATTTAAGTAATTGAGTAAATTAGTAATTGAGCAAATAGCTAAAAAGATGATATTGCATAGAAGTAATTTATCAAATTAGTTGCACAGCTTAACCAAATTGGTTGTTAAAGCCTAACACCAAAGTATATATTTAACAAAATAGGCTCCTTTAGCCTAAAACCAAAACTAAAAGTTCAAAATATTGCATGCTAATGTTCAAAATATCAACCTAAAGCTTAAGTTCAGAAAAACAACAAGAAGATCATTGAGTCAAATTTGCATGTCTGGAAGTTAGCAACTTAGCCCTCCTTGTCTACACTCCAGTGTGCTGAACTGCATCTTTGTTTATGGGTTCTAGTTGACTGGAAGAGGGGGTGCTATGTTGCTTGGCTTTTGGCTGGCCCTGTAGACTCTATGAACCTTTCCACTTACTCAGTGGTTCACAGCCTGGTTGCTCTTGGGGAAAAGTCTTGTTCTTTATGCTGTTTGGACCAGCCCCAACTGCACTCTGTGTTTTTAAACAAAAATAAACAAGTATCAACATTCAATTTCATCACAAAATTTAAAAGAAAATGAACAAGTCCCACAACATACCTTTCCG